ACTTTCATATTTACACAACCTATAGAAACTCTCTTTTATACATTTTTCAAATTCCCACGCAAATGAGCCCTGTAGTTTTTCACCTTCAAAAGAAGGCGCCAACTCTTTAGTAGTGACCCGGGTGTCGGGTTGCTTTGGCGCTCCCCAACCCAACGTGAGAGTCTTGCCTGTGTTGTACTTGACTTGACTCTCCCCCGCTTGCTGGTTGCTGATCGCTGTCTGAAAAAATGACACGAAGCTGGATATGAGTAGATGTTGTTGGTCAAAAACAAAACGGCTCTCATGAACAATGGAACAGAATGGTTAAATTCACAACAATAACCATAGTTCAAAAAAATGAGAAGATTGGTAGTTTTGTAGATATCAAAGTTTCAAGTGATATGCATGTAATTATCTTTAATAAAAGATAGTTGAGTTATATTTTAAATTTTTAATTCATTTTATGGCATTAAATGAATGTTATAATTTGAGATAAAAACTCAATGAATTGTTTGTCAATAAAAAAAGATACAAGTTATGTTTTAATAATATATAGCTTAATCGACCTTATGAATATAATATTCTTTAAAAATGTAAGAAAACGACACCAATGCTATAACTAAATAATTTCTTCTAATAAAATTCTTAAAATTATAAAACCACTAAAAAATTTACCACACTGATGTGGGACTAAATATTTTTTTGAGAAAATCTTTTTTCTCTTTTTTTTTTTTTTTTTTTTTTGGTAGGCTGCGTTTGGTGGGAGAAAAATTTGCGGACGTACGCAGCGCTGCTTACGTCAGGTAGGTTACAGTGAGGGTATTCAGGATTATATTCGCGTTATACCCCGTGTAACCTACATGTAACTTATAAATATATGAAAATAGATGCGCGGAACTTACTAGTTACAGATAGGTGACAGGTAGGTTATATGAAGGTTATAGGGGGTATAATGCGGATATAACCCCCAATACCCTCCCTGTAACATGTCTGACGTACGCAGCGCTGCGTACGTTTTACGTACGCAAATTTTCTCCGTTATTGGAGAGCGGATTCAAATTCTTTTTGGCCATTTACATTCCTACCAATCAATTCTTATATACTTACATATCTAATATTTAAATTTTACTTTTAAAATTTGTGCCATCTAAATTTTTTATATCTCATAAAAAATACCATTATTTTAACTTTAAAGAAAAGGAATAGACATTTTTATGCATAGATAAGATCACAGGTATGAAAAAATTGAATTTTAGGTATTAGAGATATAAATACATGAGAATTGAGTAGCATGCATGTAAATCTTCTTTTTCTTATTTGGTTTTGTTAATTAGTTTTTAATGAGCTTCTAGTTAATAATTGATGCTTCATCAATAAGTTTCTTTTATGTGACACAACTCTCGTGATACTTTTAATTAAGAAAAAAATTAGATCCAAATTCAGGATGAATCAGGGTCATGATTTCAACAAGTTTATAGTCAAATTTGTCGTCTCGAAAAGAGGTACCCAATGATACCAAAATTGGTTCAATTTGAGTCCAATCAAGTCCAAATCAAATCCATTAAAACAAATTTAGAAGCTTTAGAATAATCAAATAAACTCAAATTTTGACGCTTATAATCAAATTGAGCGTTTCGACAAGAGCAATCCAACTAGCTTAAGCTTGCTTAATTTTGAGGCCATTAACACCTTCAAATTATTAAAAGATATCTTATGATCAAGGGGTAGCAATATGGTCATTCGATCATGTGTTTATAAGAGCTATTCACCAAAGGATTAAAACATCCCTCCACTAGAAACTATAAATAGATCCCCTCACTTAGGGGAAAGGAGTAAAATTTCAGTATTGTTCTAGACTGGAGACCCTTTAATAATTCCAACCTTTGTAACCGTCAGCAATTATCAACCATCACTCATCGTCAGCCTCCCCTACCCACCACCGTCGACATATCTAATATAAGACGGTAATAACATGTAACTTCGTATTGAAGATTCAGTGATAACCAATTACAATGTTATTCTGGACTTAAGACTCAACAATAAATTTTGGATCGTATTGAAGATTCAGTGATAACCAATTACAATGTTATTCTAGACTTAAGACTAAACAATAAATTTTGGCTTCTATAATCATCGAATACCGCTTGTCGTCGGCCATCCCGGCTCGTCGTCATCCAACTTCGTTTGTAACGACGTATCTTAAATACAGCTGCAACAGATAGCTCCGCATTGAAGATCCATCGATAACTAATTTCAGTGATGTTCCAGGCCAACAACCTGACAACTTCCGGTATTTGTAGCTATCAATCAACATTGACCACCACTCACAGGCAGCCCCTGCTCTCCGACGTTAGCCACCCTTTGTAGTAAAGTTGTATTTAAATATGGTCATAATACTTAATGACATATTGAAGATCCAGCGATAACTTCTTAAGAGTTTTTTCATACACTTCAAAATTTTGTGTATGTTATATACGAACAAGTGTTGTAACTGATGTAAATTTGTGACCCTACTCTCCAATTTGTGAGAAAAGGGTATCTCTTCATAATTATACACCTATAGCAGATTACTTTAAATGAGACAACACCATGCGGTTATTTCCCATTCCAAATTTATCCACGTGAAAAATGCTGGCGTCCTTTTCTATTAAAATTTAATTTTCTATGTGTTAGATTTTCTTATAACGCTATGACCCGTGCAATAATAATATAAAAATAATAATTAATATTAAAATAGATTTTAATTCTACTTTATTTAGATTAATATTATAAGATTTTGAAATTAAAATTTTAAAACATAAGATGGTAAAAAATTAATTATCTTAATAAGCATTATTCGAGTATAAAGGTTAATACCGAGCTTTAATCAAGTACCACAACAAGCTCTTTAATGAGCTTTAAATAATTTTATTTACAATCATAAATGAATCGAGTAATAATATTTTTAAACATGTTCATTTAATAATTGAGTATTTAAAATAATATCGAGGCTTCACAAACGAGTTCTTATCGAGTCGAGCTACAAATAATTTGTCAAAGGCTTAGTTCATTTACAGCCCTAATACTTAGCTGGTGATCTCTTACAGGTCCATATGGCTATATATATATACAGTCCCCAAGTGATATGTATGTGAATCAACATTTAAATATGTACGGTCCATATATATCTTTATATATAAATATAAATATATATATATATATATTAAAAAAATGTATCAAAAAGTCCTAACTTGGCTCATTGGAAGGATAGCTTTTCCCAAGGCGCAACAATAAACTAATGAGTGAATGAAGTCATTGTCACGACCCGATCCGGAACTTGAAACTAGTGGAGGAACTAAATTTTATATACTCATCTACAATTTAACAAATGAAAAAGCCACTAATCAAAATTTAATTAAAACAATATATTTAAAATTATCTCGTTACTGGTGTAATATTTTCTCTTTTAACAAGCATCATTAATCGTTTAATCACTTAATTAACCTGAAATGTTAGTTTAAAAATAACAATGAATTAAATAAGACAATTAATACTTATACTCCTTAGCTACAGTAATACAATGAAAAAGAAAAAAACAATACACATGTTAGTTAAACATTTTAATAAATCAATATTAATATTTAATGTTATTCAAACAGTCATACTATATCAAAAATATAGCAATACCAATTCATATCTATACAATTATTACAGGAGCACTCTAAAAGTTTGTATCAATTATACGTGAACGGTTACATTAGTATTCCCCCGCTAATATCAAAGGGTAACTTTATCAAAGTCAATCATGATCATATAATCATCCTATAAAAATATCATTTTCAAAAAAAGAAAATATTCATTTCTCATTTTCATAGAGTCGAATCATTCAATAATGATGTTCACACATATCATTCCTACATTATGAACAAAAAATTCACTGAAAATCAAAATTTTGAGTTTGCAATAATTTCAATATTAGTAATGATTATATTGGTGAATACATTTGGCCTAAAATAAACAAAATAATACCATATAATAAGAACATGAATACTCACCTTGATGACGATTAATTTTGAGCTTGAATGTCTCGACTTTTCTAAAATTGGAAGCCTAAGCATGTTTACTCGGGTTACAAAAATTTTAATTAGCTATTAAACTTAAATAATTTAAGTATCATGTTTCCTTTATTTTACTTTATAAAAAATCCTAATTAAATTCATTAAAACTATTCCTTACCGAAGTTTGTAATGTCATTTTCCTTCTCCAGTTCACACACTTCACCTCCTTTCCCTCCAAACAAACTTTATATATTTTTAGTTTTAATTCAATAAAATTTTCTATTAATATAATTTACACTCTCAAAACACACACATTATATATATATATATATATATATATTATTGTGTGTGACTGTATATATATAACTTATATTTATATAAGTTCTATTAAATAACTTCAATATTAAAATCTTACCCTTTTTTTCTTTTAGTCGAGCTCTACCCGCAACCACGCAAGACTTCTTCCCTCATCGAGATCAGGATCACACGAATGCATGAATGTCGTTGCGCCTTCTTCCTCCCTTTCCTCTCCTTCAACTCAGTCGATCGAGATCGAGCGATTTCTGCGCAGTGAAGATGATGTCTTGTGCCACAGTTCAGGTTGGCCAGCCTCTTCTTCCTTTGGTTTCTTTCTCTATGTTCGACTCATCATCTACCTTTTCACTGAATGCATGCTCTCGACGACATCACGAGAGCATTTTTTTCCTTGATCGGTCAGGCATCAGTTGTGTTAACGTGATTATAGGAATCCATGACATTAATAGCCTTGATATGTCATTAATAGCTTTGATTCCTATAATCACATTAACATGCTTTGCAAGTTATCGATGTAAACAATTAAATGACTCAAACTTTATAGAACCTAACAAGCCACGAAATTAAAGGCTGAATTTTGCTAGTTGAGGCATGAACAAGGCGAAGATAAGCTGCTCAACGCTACAGTAAGTTGCTTGCAACTTTTATAGAGCGAAATTTACCTGCTTGGCTTCCGACCCTTTCGCTTCACATCCCCCTCTTTGGCTTTCAAATTGTTCGATTCCTTTCCCTCATTTAAGTGCCCGACTCCTCACTTCTCCTTCAATTTCTAGTTTCCTTTCCCTTGATTAATTGAAATGGGACTTCACAGACATGAAAATATACATAGCATAAAACATGATTTAAGACATTTAGTAGGTCTAAACATTAGCTTGAATCAAACAAAAGTTCAAAAATAAGAATAAAAATTTGGCAACCTGGAGTTTATAACATAAATTCTAGGTGCTTTTATTGTTATGGCAAAAGAGTAATGTAATACTCTCCAACAAAAAACATTTTTAACAATTCAAATCGCATCATTGTTTTAGCACAGTAAGTTTGAAGTCTTTGACAATCAGCATCTCATGTTAAAAGCTAGAATGAACTTTTCGCAATAACTCTTTAGGGTTCTTGCTTGGTTTTTCAAAAAGCTTGCTAGTTTTTTTAATGGCTTCTATGCAATTGCAAAATATGCTACAAGTAACTTTTTTAAACTCGACAATGTTTGTTAAGAAGTGATTCTTTAAAGGTGAAAAAAAATAAGCAGCATTTCAAAGCATCACTTCTAATTGAGATAATAGCCGACTCAAAATAAGCTATGTGATCAGCAGGATCAATGTTTCCTTCATAAGAACTTTATTGAAGGCTTCTCCTCGATGAAGTTAACTTATTTGAACAAATTGGCTGAATAAGCACATAACCAGTCTGTTTCGGTCGAGTAAGCCTAATAAAGTCCTGAACCGAGATGGCTATGGTATTTTCTCTAAGAGCCTAATAAGTTCACCGCAAGCCCGTCAAGTATGCTAGTCTGTTATCCGTAGCATTTTTTATCAAGCTGCCTTGAACCTAATCGATTTTGCTCGAAACAAGGTGTGCGATCTTTCGATATACTAAGCTAACAAAAACAGGGCTAAATTTATTAAGCCAAAGCTTAAGAATATTGAACTCAAACTCAAAAAAAAAAGAATATTGTTAACTCAGAGTATCGAATGATAATGCAGACATAGACATCACTGGACAGAGCAAAATACACCATTCAGCATTCCTGAACAATATAACTCAGGAACCAACTTATCATTACAGTATGGTACTATAACCAAAGATCTCATGGCAAAAGCCTCAAAATCAGCCAACAGCCATCAGGCAAAAGTCCACAATAACAATTAAAAAAAGAAAACACATAACACGGAATGAGCTCAAGGATGAAGAGCAAACTAACAGGCTCAAACTCAAAAAAGAATAATCAGAAAATAAACTCTCATGAAAATGAACACCAAGCAACTTTGAGGATTAAATCGCTGAATTCGAAGATCATGATCTATGTAAGAAACTTATATCGCAAATATTATAGTTATTATATCCTGTTTGTCTGCAACTCAGCAAACTTCAAAACTAATGAAAAGGAATCAGCCACAAAGCTAAGATAACCAAGTAATCACATATAGAATTATGATTAGCTATAATCTAAAGGTATTCTAATACGTCTGGAAAAAAAAACATACACCACTTATTAACACTTGAAACTGTACAAAAAGGCTCAAAGATTACTACTGCCAACTCATAAAAAAAAAAGGAAAAGGAAACACAACAACAGAAGATGACCAAAATTAAGGAAAACAATCCCAATTATTCCTAGTAAAATAAAAACATACGCAATTTATCAGCCTTCATGGTCTCAATTGAGAAGGGTTATTGGAACCTACGAATTCCATGGAAGTATCAAAATAAGCATCAAAGTTGACTAACCAATCCGCACAAGGATGCCTTCTCTAAAATAATCTGAAGGATGAAATATTGCAAAGAATCAAGATATAAAGAAAATTGTCCTCATAAAAAAAGACCACATTCCCATGCTTTCAATTCTTAATCAGATTTAGAACTAAAGCATCCATGTTAATCCAAATAATATTAAAAATAACAGCAAAAAAGATTATAATACCAAGTTGAGAGCCATAATTTCATCAAAGAGAGCAGAATCAGTGAAGAAGGCAGCAAATACAAAGATAAAATTGCCCTGAAAATCCTAGAAAATGTCGCCATCTACCACATTATTGCAACAATACCATCAATATTAATCTCAATTATGCCGAGAGCAGGTTTTCGCCAATAAATAATGAAATCCTTGAAAGAATGTTAATTCTCAAGGATTCGCAGCCAATACAAGAAACAGCATTAACAGCCCTAAAAGAAGAGAAATTATTGATTTGATAAATCTGAACATGCAATCTATTTATGCCCCTGACATAATCCATCTTAGAACTAGGATACTTTCTCTCATTTCGTTCCAATCATAAATAAGAATAGGTATATGACCTTTAAAAGTACCACCTGAAGATGAAATTGATGGCTATGAAGCTCAAATACAGAAGAATTTGAAAAACAAAAGAAATTTGATTAAATATGTTACAGAACCATAACCAAACTTTCAAAGTAATGATGACATCAATGCATACATGGTTTACTGTCTCAATGAGGCGGCAACGAGGACAAATATCAGGCACTCAAAATTCCATTTTTACTAAAAAAAAAAATCCACTAGAATGATCGTTTAAGCAATCTACAGCAACATAGAATATGATAACAGAATATTTTTACCCCATATAAATTTAAACACAGGATTTGTTAAACATGTCTTCATTTTCCCAACTTCCTTGGTAACAATGCCTCCTGAAAGAGACTTATTCAACAGGAAAAAACCTTCTCAAGAAAAAACAAATGAAATATTCTTAATAACATCAAGAAAAATAAAATAATATCAAGTAGTTTACCAAAATGGAATACTGCAATCTCCAAAAAAATATAGAATCTAATACCAGAAGATTTTTACACAAAGTAAATTTAAACACAGAATTAGCTTAACAAAGCCTCCTGAGGTAGATTTAATAAACAAAATGCAGTCTTCATGGAAAAAATCAAGTGAAATGTTACTAATAACACCAACTATGAAAAGTGAAATAATATCCAGAATTTGCTCATTAATTATATTGCCAAAAGTAACAAGGTCCACCCAACCCCCATTGGATGAATTTCTCAGCTTCACACTTAATACCATAATAATGCTATCAAAATTAAGAACCCCCATTTTTATAATAACAAGAAAAAGAATATTTACGCAAAGGTATTTGGGGTATATAAACTCAACCCATCAATTATCTTTTATTGAAAACCCACCAGTTTAATAGAAAAAGTTTTATTAAGGAGCTTGATGAATATTTTTTTCCATGAGAGGCAAAACCCCAAAAGGAACTTATTAAATGATCTTTCAATCCTACTACAAACAAATGAAGCAGGTTGAAATGTTTACAGTAAAATAATTTGAATTGTCAAAGCAAAGTACAAATAAAGTTATTGTTATCTCCAAATGACAGCATTTTAAATTTTCCCAAGCTAGAAGTTTGTTTTGGACAAAAGCAATTAACAAATTAAAATAAAAAGAATCTCTTGTTACCTATAAAAAGCAGAACCAATACCTTATAAGAAGAGATTAATAATGAAAACCCAAACCTAGAGAAATGAAATTAATATGCCTACTGGAAGACCTGTATTTTGAAGTTAAGAAACAACTCTTGCTTAAATAAATAATAAGAACACTCTTTTTCTCAAAAGAAAAAAACTTAAGCAATTCAATCATAGCTAGAGTAACATTAGTGAAAATTATAAAATCATTAGCAAAAGATAAATGAGAAATAAGAACACTTTTAAGTCTTCTATAATTCCAATGGGAATAGCCCTTCAATAAATTGATATGACCTCTACAAAGTCATTTAAGAGTTCACTGATCACCAATTATGACACACCAAACGATTTGAAAATAATCATAAAAGAACCATAGAATTACCAAACATTTTCCACACAACTTTTAATTAATTGATGAAAGAATGTTTAAGCCAAAGCAATGTAATATATTATACAAGGAATTCCAATCTAAACAATCATGAGATTTTGAAATATTCAATTTTAGAATAATATTATGTCCATTAGTTCTAAGATAAAGATCATCTTCAAGTGCTAAGTCGATAATATATAATCAAAAATATCACATTATTTCACTAAACCAAATTATTTCTTCGATGAGTTTAGAAAACAAGGCGCCATGTCTGAAAGTTAAAATTTTAAATTATTATATTAAAAACAATACAAACTAATCTGACAAAAATCCTACAATTCAGAGTAACTATCTTAAGGATAGAGGCTATGGACGTACGACAAAAAAAATTAAATAATTTATGTATAAAACTAACCTTAAAAATTTTTATTGCATTTTCATCATCCTTCTTAATCACTTGACAACACTTTTGAAAAAATAAAATAGAAAAACCATCGAAACCCGCCAGCATGCTCATCAATTGCCAGAAAAAAATTAAAACTTTCTTCTGCAGAAGGAGAAGCAGATAGAATTCATTACCGATGTCAGAGATAATAAACAAGAATCTCAATCTGAATTTCTGATGAGATTACTAATAAAATTATCGAAAAAAAAAACTGATTATCAATAGCAAAATTAACAATAGGAGCATCCTCTTTTATCCATTCATCATAAGAAATTTTAAGTTTATGAAAATGTTACAAGTTTTCTTTTCATCAACAAATAGCAAAAAATTTAATATTGCAGGATTCCAATAAATTTACTCCACACATTGCAGTTTAAGTAACATGTCTACGGCTTCATTGAGAATAGAAGAGTTAGTAATAATATTATTTTTTTCTTTTTAGCTTCCAAAATTTTGCTATAACAGCCACCACCAACTGCATAAAGGAAAAAGCATTCAACCACGTATTTTGAAACTGGAATGTACCCATACAAGGGAAACACAGTTTTTTAATTTTAAATAGCAGAGGAGAATGGTCTGAAGCAATCATAATACTAAGATATGTCAAACACCTGAATAAGGAATATCTCATTCCACATAAAACCGATAAGATTTCCATGCAAACGTTACCAAAGATCTCTTTTAAGACAAAGCATGCATGGTACTCAAAAAATTAAAATCCATAAAACCACAATATAGCATAATATTAGAGAATTCTTTCACATCATTGCAATTAGGAGAAGCTCCTTCCAATCATTCACTAGGAGATAAAAGTCATTAAAATCTCAACCCAC